GGGACATCTGCCTGGGGTTCTGCTTCACAGGGACTGGAGGGGTCTGCATGATGAGTTCTGCTTTTCCTCTGGTGCCAAGCGGGACTTGGATCTGGGCTTCTTTGGGGTGCAGCAGGTGGCTTGAGGAGGTTGCTTGACACTTTTTTGGGCCTTGGCTTCCCGTTTAACCCCCACTTTGGTGAAGAGAAGGCAGGGGGAACGCAGCTGGGAACTGGGGCTTCACTGATGCATCGTGAAGGGCTGAGGCTCTTTGGTGGCTCCTGGAGCATGCAGGGGCATGGCCACGTTGACCATCGTGACCTCCATCTTGGCACAAAGGGGGAATCTTTGGGGTAAAGCTGCACTTTTCGTGGATAATGACCTAGTGTGGACGTGGAGGGTCACCACCCCCCATGGTAGAGCTTGCTTGAGCCCGGCCAGATTTCTGGCAATGTCCATCTAGGGAGGGAGGACAGAGAGACGCGGGGCTGTGAAAAGCTGGATCCCCTTCCCTCCAGCTGTGATGGTCCCAGCTGGGGGCAACAGCCAGGTCCCCAGGAGTCACCAGGGCTGGCTGTAAGGGTGCAGAGTCCCCTCTGCCATGCACCACAGCACCAGGACACGCTGCTGCTTTGGCAGCTTCTCCCTGGGGAGCCTTTACTCCCCCTCGTCAGCCACCACGGGTTTGTGCTGTCGCCGCCTCCAAGGTGGGCGAGGAGCTGAGGAAGGCCCTGGCATCTTCCTGCAGTGAGTGCAGAGGGCACTACGGGGCTGGCACATGCCTCTGCTGGTGACAGCGAGCGTGGGCCACCACCCCGGGACTCCTCATCCTGCCTCAGCCTGGAATGTGTCACCTCAGGGTGAGCCCCATCACCATCTTCTCATGGCATCTTGGGGTGTTCCCCTTCACCCAGGACATGTCACTTTGGGGTGTGCTTCACCTCCCAGGACTGAACATCTTGGAGTGGGCTCCACTACCTGGATTGTGTCACCTCGGGTGGGCTCAGAGCCCAGGACACAGCACCCATGGTGTCTCCCTACACTGACCATCTCACCCAAATGCCCCCCCAAGGTAAAGAGCGTGCCCAGAGGCAAGGGACCACTGTGTCCCAGTGTCACCCCGCTGGAGACACCTCCATTCCCCCCAGCATTGGCACAACCGCAGACACCACTGCCGTTGGGTGCAGGGGTGACCACAGTGAGGCAAGTGGCTTGGGGGGCCACAGACACCCACAGATTCTGGTTACGTGTGCCATTCCATCTCTCCCAAAGTGTTGCCCAAGCAAGGCAAGGCAGATGTCGGGTGGGTTGGCTGCATGGTGACACCCTCTCCCATCAGCCATCCTTGTCCTGGTGTGTAGGTGACAGACAGCCGGGCAGGACAGCTGGGACACCTCAGTGGCACAGGGCACCAGCAGGTCCCTGGGGGGCAGTGTGGGGTGTGACTCTTGCCATGTCCCCACTGTGTCCCCATGTCCCTGCTCGCCAATCCACCAGCCCCACACAGGCGCCAGTCCCCTCACTGGGGTGCCAAAACCCCTGCTCGGCCCATGGGTCCGAGAGTGACTGAATTGCTTATAAAATGGCCCATTCCCTGGCGGGTGCTGGTGCCTTGGCAGGGCTCTCAGAGCTATTTTCAACCCATGGGGACATTTCCCTTGTAAGTGATAGCCCAGGAAGCCGGTGAGCTCATGTGCCAGCAGGGGCTCTGGAGGGGCCAGGGAGTCTCCCCATGTGATGGCTGAGCTGGGATCCCCCATCCTGCTGCTGAGGGATACAGGTGAGACCCCCACTGCTGAGGGGTACAGGTGAGACTCGCCCCAGGGCTGGGTACCACATCTTGGAGCACTGTGTAGGTGAAAGCCAGCCAGGCAGGACAGCTGGGACACCTCGTCTCTGCCTGGAAGTTCCCAAGGGTTTGAGTATCTTGTGAGACAACAGATCAGCAGGCATTAAAATCCAGGCTGACAAGGCCAAAGATGTGATTCCTGCCCAGGTGACCAGGAATCCTTGGGATGACCAAAGAAGAGGGATGGGAAGTCCTCACTGGGAAATGCTCACACTGAGTGCATGGAGGATGTCCCTTGGGGCCACGAGCAGAGCCCTGGGGGGGTGGTGAAGCCTCCCATGGCTGGAGACCAGGGGACAGGACCAGCATGGCCTCGCAGAAGTTCCTCCTCTGAAGGAAGGGGCTTCTCCAGTCCCAGCCATGGCACAGCACTTCCTGCTTCACCATCCTCATCCTCAGGTCCTTCAGCACCTCCCTGGGCTGAGGACCCCATGAGGGACACCACAGGGTGGACATTCCTTGACATCCAGCATGACATCTGCCTGTGCTAAAATATGTGCCATTTTCTCACAGTCTGCTCACTTGCGGACCCAGATTTTCCCTGGCTGGGGAGTCACAGATGCTTTCTTTTCCACCACCCTGATGTTGGTGTCTTCAACAAGTCAGGAGTTCAAGTTCTCTTCCATATCTTTAGGTTGGGCACCCTGTGGGGAGAGAGTCAAAAAAACACCTCACAGAAGTGATTTCCACCTCTATATTTAGAAAGTTCTGAGCCTAGTTTTAATCCCTTTGGTGCGTCCTGGTGAGGTTTCTTTACTCTTTCTTAATCAAAATATCATGCAGTTCTAGCTGACTATTTATAGAAATCAAATCAATTTTTTTTCAACTGAACTTAAAATGTCTCCCACAGATGAGGTCATTAGTCTGACAAAGCTGTTTCCTATAGCCCCACTGGCATCTGGATCAAAAAAAAAAGGAAAATCTTTGCTTTTTGCCAGTGTCCCTGGATCATGAAGCCTCTGGGATGGGATGCTGTGGCTGAGCGTTCTGGGCTTTGGGGTACCTGAGGATCTAGAAAGCCAACCACATCCTCGGCTGCTCTCATGCCTGTATCCTCTGGGCTTCTTGAGCCACTTTGGGGCACTGTCCTCTCCCAGCTGGTGAAAGTGTTGGCTTGGCCAGCTCCAAACTAGTGCTGGAGCCATTGGGGTTTGGCAGTGGCACTGGGCTGTGCCAGGATGGCACAGAGTGGGAAACTGAGGCATGGGAAGAGCAGGGAGGAGATGCCATCCTCTGCCACACTCTGGCCAAGCACCGAGGAGTGGGCTGCAAGGCTGGGATGTCCTGGCCTGAACCTGGGTGAGGGGCAGAACCCCCATTTTGGGCTCCCCTGGCCCTGCTCTTGCCTGGGAAGGGTTACTGGTTGTGGAAAAGTCAGGCTTCAGGGGCTAATCTGCCTTGACTTTTTCCAGCTTTTTCCAGCACAGAGCATCATAACCCCTGGGCACTGCACCCCTCCCTGGCAGTTCCCTGCACGGCAGCTGATGGCTGGGAGAGGCAGGGGCCCATCCTGGGGTAGGGCCAAGCATTATGAGGCTGCAGCTCTTTTGGGTCCAGCTACTTTCCATGAGGTTTTAAAGGGCTTCGTCAGTGCAACGCACGGCCTTCGGGCTGCCTTCAGCCTTGCCTTCCCCAAAAAAGGAGGGACAGACAGGTTCGGGATGCAAGCTTCCCTGAAACCCCACTGGGAGGACAAGAGGTGAGCAGGACCTGCAGGAGGTGCATAACTCCCTTTGGCGCTGCAGGGGCCGGGATTCGGGCAGGGGAAGGGGGTGTGCGAAAAGCCATCCCTGCGGCGCTGTGTGGCACCAGCCCCACGCTCGGGGCTCCTATTTCTGCCGGAGGGGGAGAACGTCCCTCCCAGGGCCACCTGTGCCCATCTGTCCCTCCTAGCCGGCCTCGTTCTCAGGGGCTGTCCCTTCTGGAGGACCCATTTCAGCACTATTGCCTTTCCATACGGCCCTGTGCAGGGATGGAAGTGACACCATGGCAGCGTCATGTTCAGTCCCCAGGAGCCATCACCATCCTTTCTGCATGGGCTTTTCCTGGGTGCAAACTAGTGCTGGCATCCTGTGGCACACAGAGCTCTCTGTTCAAACAGCTGTGCCCCAGGGTGCTGTCACTGCTGGGCAAACGGTCCCCGGACAGCTCCCAGCCCCTGCAGATGGGCATGAGATTCAGGGCAGGCAGGGACAACGCAAGCTGGGGACCCTCAGGGAGGTCAGGTCCCAAAGGGGAGCCGGGCAAGAGCTCCTCTCTGATGCCACCCGGCCGCTTGGCACGACACAGGGCGTGAACAAGGGGAGCCCTGGTGTCACTTTACCCACGGGGACCCACAGGACAGACGTCACCCTTGGCGGCAGTGGGGTGAGGGGCTGGGGCCACCAGCCGAGGGGGCCGGCTGCACCCCGCCAGACTGCTCTCCCTGATCCCCCTGTACAGTTGCTGGGCCATATTTTTAGCCTGGGGAGGACGCACAGAGGGTGTTAAGCCCGTAACCTTCGGCCCATTTCACTGCTCATAGGCTGGCCATCTGCAGATCAGCACAATTCGCCTTCTGATGGATTTGGAGACCATGTAGGGGAAACGGGAGGGAGAAGGAGGTGGAGAAGAGACAGGGACTTTGTGTAAGACCTTGAAGGTCACAGGGAATAAAGCCCATGACCAGCCTGTTGGCAGGAACATCCCAGTCAGAGCGCCTAGGGAATATTGCCTTTCTCCCACGAGGGATGGCTCATGGTGGACACTGGGGTTGCTGCTGTGCTCGGACATGGTGGGTGGTGGCCCCTCTGTCCCCCTGCATTAGGTCAGAGGGGGGACACAGACCCTGGACAAAGTCCTCGGGATACGCCAGGTCTCCTCTGCCTAGCCCTGCTCCCCCCACCACCACCTTGTACCTCTCCAAACCTGAGGAGCATCACTCCTCTTCCAGCCCTTCAGGTTATCAGCTATTTTTGGGGTCAAGCTGAGAATATCCCTGTCTCCATAGGCCAAGGGGACCCTCAGGGGACCCAGGCTGGCCTCCAGGGCCATGCTGGCCCCCTGCCACCCAGGGCTTTGCACGTCAGACATAGCACGTTTCCCTTCAAGTGGCTCTTGGCAGGCTGGACACCCTGAGGGGTCCTGGGGAAGGTGACCCTCAGGAGAAGGGTGCTCTGGGTGGGAGGGAGGTATGTGGGAGCTGCACCGTAACTCATCTCCCTCCAGCTGGGAGCTGAATTCGGAGTGTGGAGGCACCTGCGAGCTGCGTGCCAGCAAAGGACAAGTCAGGTCGGTGAGGGTAGAGTGAGGGTGACCCACGCATCCGGTTTCAGCAGGGCAAGGGGCCGCGGGGATGGCGGCAGCTCCATTGTGCCAGGCTGCACATGAGAGCGACTGGAAACCCTGGCAGGCTGAGGAGTGCCCCGTTCCACCCAGCCTCTGGCACAGCTCGTGCCCCTGCGCAAGCCTGCTGCTGCCGCCTGACTCCCGGCTACCAGCACCGACAGACCCGGCATGGATAGAAATGCAACCTCCTGCCTGGCAACCCCAGCCACAGCAAACTGGCTGGCAGTGGGCAGAGTGGTCTGGGGCTGGCACCACACCAACCCTGGCTCAGCCTCTCCTGTACTCGGCCACCATGGCTCCCTGTGGCCAAGTCTAGCAAGCCCCAGCACCGTGGCTTTGCCGAGGCCCTGCAGGGGACACGGCCGCACAGCTCCCCAGTGTGGATGCAGTGCAGGATCGGTGCTGCCTGTGGCCAGTGCTGCCCGTATCTGGTGCTGCCTGCTTTCCTCTCTGCAGCCTGGGTGAGGTGGCATTTTTTCCTGGTTGGCATCTGCTTGCCAGCTGGAGTACAAAGAAATTATTTTCCTCTGAAACGCTTCCCTGGTATGCAGGCATTAAACGTTTCGGAGGGATTATTTAGACTAGCAGCAACAGTTTGTAACAGAGACAGTATAGCTGGTGATCTTTTATTTTTGGCACCCATTGACTAATGTTAAATTGCAGTCAGAGGCCTATGGAAAATACGGATGGCTTCTCATGGGCTGCAGAACAAACTCATTGTCTCCCCGCCAGCCGCACAGCACAGCAAATGCTTTCCTAGTGAAGGGATGCTCACAATAAATAGCTCCTGAGCCCTGCTGCCTCGGTCAGGCCCTGCCTGCACTCGCCTGCCTGAGGAATGGCAGGGTCTTGTGCTGTGGAACCCCTCACCCCTTCCACCCACTTGCCCCTTCCTCCTCCCCCTCGCCCAGCCACCAGCCATGGCCAGGGCTTGTGATGCTCTCCTGAGGCAGGGCTGGGGAATGATCCTTTTAACCTGCCAAGTGCCCACAGCTCCTCGAGCTACACTTTTCGTTATCCCTTCCCCTCCCATTTCTTAT